TATTATGCTGGAGTTCCAGCATACTTATCCTGGAACTCCAGTATAATATGCTGGAGTTCCAGCATAAACTCCAGTATAATATATTGACGTATTTTCCGAGCTTTTAACAGTGTTTTCGCTCAGAATTATCTTTACATGAAAAGTGGCTAAATTTCGATTACTTTTAAAATTGGGCTATTTTTGAATGACCAGTTGTAAATCTGGCTATTTTTGAATTTCTCCCCGTTTTGTTGGAAGAAGGGGATCCCAGAAAATAACTCTCTTGAGGCCTCTAATAGGAAATCTCACTTATTGTTTTGGGTATTGATATATCATATACAAGTGACATACAATAAAGATTTTAGAAAATAAGAAAACAAGAGAGAAATCGGATATCAAAAGCTTTGGAAGAGGAAAGAATATGCAATTTTGGGATTATAACAGTGGAAGATTGAAAGAGAGAAATCGGATATCAAAAGCTTTGGAAGAGGAGTGAGTAAGCGAGATTTTTGAGTTAGAAAGATTTTGGGTATCAGTGGGAGAATTCTTAGGATGGGTAAGTACAAATATGGGTAATTGTTAAAGAAAGAGAAGAATCTTAAATGTATGGGATTATTTGTAACTGATACGCTGTATTTAAGGTATGTTTCATTTTTTCCTTTTTATGATTTTGTATAAAACTAGTAAATATAGGTATACAAAGTAATTAATATGAAACCTAAATAAAGATAGTAAATATGTTTCTATTATAGTATAACTAGGTAAAAATTCCTGTTTTGGAGATAAAGGCATGCGTCCAGAAGCCCATTGGACAAAAACTTCATTCCAGGTTGTAGAGAAAATGACAAAAATCCCTTATGTTTTAAGGGTAGGTATGCACTTAAAGGTAATCCACATTTAGAGATATAAATGTAATCCATTGAGTATGCACACTGAACAGTTTTTAAGTTTGTTAAAATTAACACTTTTGGTTTCAATATTTAACGTACAATGTCAGTTAGATTTAATAAAAACTGTGAATGAAAAAGAAAATTACTGGGAACTCACATTTAGAGGTATAATTTTTATAGTTTATGCTTTTTTTTAATCTATTTCTAGAGTCTTGTGCAAATTTTGAGCTGTAATTTCTACGATGTTTTATATCTTTTGAGTGTGTAGGATAGTTTTTTGTGTTGTATTTTTGGGATTTGATGAGATTTTGCTAATGTTTAAGGTTTAATCTTTCTTCTTGACGGTTCTCTTCAAATCTAACACAGATTTCGTTAACTATTTGACGAAAACCAAAGGTGTTAACCGAAGGACCAAAACTGCTAAGTACGTACTTAAAGAAATATTTTGAACTTAACCACAAACATAAGAGACTATTTTTGTCATTTCCTTCCAGATTGTATATAGTTCAGCCCTTACACTTCAATAAAAGTTTTTGCAACCTCACCTCCCATCCCCGCACCCTCAAAAGAGTTTTAAGTAATATATACTGAAGGTGTAAAAATATTTATATTAATTAGTGCAATTTAACTGGGCATAAGAAGTAATTAATTATGCGGATAGTTACATGTTATTATAGGTAAGTTTAATAAGATAGTGTGAAAATTCACTGTACATTAGTGCACACAACGTAAATTCAGAAAGATCCATTTTAATACTGCAAAGCCAATCATGAGCTGACAGTACGATGATTAATGAACTTACCTGCAAAAAATTGAAGCAAATAAATTTGCCAGTACATGTTACTCCATATATCTTTGGGACCATTTCAATTGCTTTTCTTGCTGTTCTCTTTTGTACTTTTTCCTTTTCTAAAATACCAACATTTGTATTGCCAAGTTCATTGGTAAGAATCAAGTGCACCAGGGACGGGCAACTGTACTTAAAACAGTGGTTTATGCAAGTACGGGCCTGATGCAATTTCGTTGAACTTGAAAAATGGCTAGAGCGAATTAAAGCAATAAATGGTCTATGAAGTGTTGTAAGATAATCATGAAAATTCTCTACTAGCTTGAGGCATGTTAATAACACTGTCTTTTAGGATATTTCACTGGTATTAGCATATTCCCGTAGTGTTAATACACAAATCCACCACTTTTGCCTTCCGCCTCCTTTATCATATGCATGAGACTACTCATTTTTTCTCTCTCTTTACAAGACACTAAAGGATAATTCCTTATAAAATAAAAAAGAAAGCTCTTTCTTTGTAACGATACGGCCGGTCGTTTTGAGAGTATTACCCCGATCCCCTATTTATTGCTTTCCCCCGTATTTTTTTTCTGCTTATGTGACTTGCCGGGAGGCTTTGTTCGTGGTTTCGGAGTGATTTGGGACACTTAGTCCCTAAAATGGAAGCGTAAGTTCTAGGATTTTTAACCGTAGTTGGAACTGTGTGAAGATATTTTATCGTTTTATAGTTATTTGTTGCAGTCTTGTTATTCAATTCTGTTTTTATTTTTATTATTCCGCAATTTGTTAGGCTTACTTAGACGTAGAAACTAGGTGCCGCCACAACGTCTTACGGAGGGAGATTTGGATCGTGACATTCTAATTCATATGATACACCAAAAATTACCCTTTATTTCTCAAACATGAAGGCCATTCAATCCCACGAGAGGACACATTAATCCATCATGTGAATATCCAAATGAGGTTTTTCTGGTTTGTAATGCCTGCCTTAAAGTTGTTGAAATGCTAGTTTTGTTAGATTTGGTATTTTTTTCCTTGTGTAGTTATGTATTAGTGGTTTTCAAATGTAAGTTATGAGCTTGATGTTGGCAGCTATAAGTTTTAGTATAATGCCATTACTTATTATCTTTCTTGTTGCTTTTGTCCACAAAAAAATGATATTCTACTAGCTGGTGTTGGATTGTAAAATAAACTGATTCTACCACGTGTGAGTGAAAAAGACATCATCTAACAAACAATTTAAAGTGGAAGTTTTGGGTGAAAAATCATGAACCGAACTACTCATCACCTCACTATTGATTGTTCCATAAACTAAGTTCCATTTGGTGCTAGCACAGTGACACGTTTGTTCTTCAAATTCTCGGTGCATTTCCTAGTTAGGTTATTACTTGGACATTATATATAGTGGTGTTAATCTACTCTCAAACAAGCACTAATGGTACTAATCATGAAAAAGGAAAACGAGAAGTGCCTTTAATAATAATCTAGGTAACTATGTGGATAAATAGGACATTCTTATCTTTAATCAGAGATTTCAGATTTTAAATTTGACAACGGAAAATACTTGGTGGAGAACAATTTCCCTTATAATGATTTTATCGAGATTGTTACTTTGAGCTAGGAAGAAGCTCGTACAGGAGCTTCAATGGAGGTTCTGGAATATTCCAAAGAGAGAAGAAAATATTTGGGAGGAGAGCAGATGAAGTGAAAATGTGAAAATGACTCTCATCTCATTTCCATTGTTACAACATGTATATGTATGTACACGTGGTAAAAATAAAAGACAGTTAATACAAGCTAATACAATCAACTTAGCTAACTAAGAGCTAATAACAGTAGCTACCTAGCCAATATCTAACAATAACTAAAACTAACTAAACATATTTCAATACCCCCCCCCCCCCNATTAAATTAAGTGCCTATTCTCAATACCCCCCCTCCCCCCAAGTTGGATGGGAGGATCTCACAGCCAACTTGCCGAGCACAACATGATGTTTGACCCCTGTGAGTGCCTAGGTGAGGATGTCAGCTAATTGGTCAGTGGTGGCCACATGGTGAAGAGAAATCAACCATTCCTAAAGTTTGTTCCGTATAAAGTGATAGTCAACCTCAATGTGTTTTGTCCGTTCATGAAAAATAGGATTGTGAGCAATGTGGATAGCAGATTGGTTGTCACAAAAGACAGTAATGGGGCTGGATTGTGGAATAGTAAACTCTTCAAATAACTTGTTCAACCATACCAGTTCTCCTACCACTTTCCTGAGGGACCTGTACTCAGCCTCAGGTGAGGCTAAGGAAATGGTTTCTTGCTTCTTTGATTTCCAACTAATGGGACTGTCTCCAACCAAAACAATGTAGCCAGGGACAGACTTTCTAGAGTCAGGGCATGATGCCCAATCAGAGTCACAATAGGCAGCGATGGAACAATCATCGTTTTTGGAAAAAAATATACCAAGTGTGGGATCTGTCTTGAGATACATGAGGAGATGAAATGCTGCTGTCAAATGTGTATCTCTAGGTGCTTGTATGAACTGGCTGAGAAGTTGTACACTGTAGGCTATATCAAGTCGTGTGTTGGTGAGGAAGTTCAGCTTACCCACTAATTTTCTATAATATGTAGGATCTGGAAGAAGAGTGCCCTCATCAGCTTTCAACTTCACAGCAGGGTCAAGAGGAGAGGACAAACTTTTGTAAACAGAACAATCATATTCCTTCAGCAAATCTAGGGTGAACTTCCTTTGTGATATGATGACACCATCTGATTTGTAGAGAACCTCTAGACCCAAGAAGTAATAGAGTTTTCCCCAGATCCTTGATTTTGAATTGCTTATCAAGAAATGATTTCAAATTGGCTATCTTCACTGAATCAGTACCATTGATGATAACATCATCAATATAGACAACTACAAAAATAATGTGGGAAGAAGTCTTCTTGGAGAAGAGTGAATAATCATTCTCAGAGTGTCTATACCCTATTGATGATAGGGCTTCAGTCAACTTAGCATATCATTGTCTGCTGGCTTGCTTCAGCCCATACAGTGATTTATTGAGTTTACAAACTACCTTTGTGGACCAATCTGATCAATTAAGAGACCTGGTGGCACCTCCATGTACACTTCTTCATATAGGTCACCATGGAGGAATGCATTGTTTACATCAAGCTGAAATATATCCCAAGCTTTCTTCACAGCAACAGTGACTGAAACTCTAACTATTGTCATTTTGACAATAGGGGAAAAGGTCTCTGTATAGTCAATCCCTGCTTGTTGGGTATACCCCTTTACCACTAATCTATCCTTAAACCTTTCTATACTACCATCTGCTTTGTGCTTAATCTTATAGACTCATTTGCAGCCTATTGCCTGCTTTCCAGCTGGCAAAGGGTCTAAGTCCCAAGTGTTATTTGCATAGAGAGCCTCAAATTCCTGTGTCATGGCTGCTTGCCATACAGGACTGACTGTTTCCACTCCATATGAAGATGGCTCACTATCATAACAAACATTTGTCACTAAGTGCCGACTTTCAGAACATAGGGCATCAGGTGTAACATAACTGTAATTGGAGAAGAGTGCACTCAAAGAAGATGGATCCTAGGGAACATCAGGACGTGATGTGTTAGGTAGATTATAGATGTAATATGAAGGTATGTAGGGGTTTTATGGGTTCTACTAGTTCTTCTTAAAGAAGGTGAATCTAATTGGGTAGATGTTGGTAAATAAGGACTGAAAAGTTCATGTGAATTTGCAGGGGTAAGAGAATGGTGAAAAGACTAAAAGTTTGATGTGTGCATTGTAGTATCATTAGTGGGTGAGGATAGAGGGGATTGAGGCACATCTAGATATGTGATACTTGTAGGATTTTGAGCATTAGAGTGTGGACTTCCATTCTTAGAGTAAACAGGAAAAGAGGCTGGCGTGAGATTATTATACAGGGAGACATTCTTAGACTTTAAAGAGAAAGGAAAGACACTTTCATGGAAACTACATCTCTAGAGACATGAATCTTCCTAGTGGCTAGGCTTAACACATTTTGTAACCCTTTGTCCCAAAAGGATAACCCATAAAAACGTGAGGAGTGGTTTTGGGTTCAAATTTGTCACGCCCCGAACCTGGGCCTGGACGTAACACGGCACTCAGTGCCTGACTACATGTGACCGAGTGAACCAACTGGCTAGCTGAATCAACATGTGGTATCATAACATACTGAATTTGGAAGATAAACTAACACATGCTGATATACCGAAAGTCTGGATGATANTAGATATTTACACCTCATAACTATAGTGTTGGTTCATCCAGCTATCACCATTAACCAACAATTCATTCCACCATCATTCCTAACAAATTTATAACTTCCAACAACATATGTATGACCATCCATTCACACCCAACCAA